GGTTTGCAGAATATTTGCAGAACATCATTCCTGTTGAAAAGAAATTCTTACTGTTCTCAGCAATTGGTAAACACTGTTAGGGAAGTTACTTTAAAAATAATAACTTTTGCTGATTACTCTGTACTTCTATTATTAAGGTACATTACTTTTGTAGTTATCATTTAGGGAAAGCAGCTTTTTTGCAGCTTATTTTGAGTAAAGTTCTACTATTGAGAACACAACAAGTATTTATTTTGAGCTCTTTATTATAAACTATGTAATGTAATGTAAACTGCGCACTTGAAAATAAAACAGCTAGTCCTGTACAATGTAATGAAACTTTCAAAATAACTCATATCTAAAGAAAAAAAAAACATTCATTGCATGAAAACCTCCACATTTTACTGATCCATCTGATCAATAAATACAGTAAAATAAACACTGAATTGAAAAGGCTGTGTTAACTGAATATGCTGGCCTTCTTAGCAGTGGGATAACAGGGATCAGGAGATATTAACAGATAGGCTGCAGGCAACAGATACCACATCCCAACACAATGCGTGAATATGCCTTATGAATACAGCTTTCACTCTAAGGAAACAATTAAGTATGTTCAACTTCAAGCTTGATCCCATACTTAGTATCGCTGAATCTGTACTACAGAACATTGTGTCATCCTCTCACTCGGCAAAAGAGAAACAGTTCTACTCAATGATGTTGCTGTAGATGTCTGCAGAAACATTCCTAATTTTCTCTGCAGGCTTTGTATCATGCACTAGATGACTAACGGACATGCCGCTGCTCCCCATCGGGAACACATTTATGCACCTGAGGAGACTGTTGCTGTCACAATGCAGTGGCAGTCACACAATGTCACTTCCAGTGTTTTTGTGGAAGGATAAACATCATTAGGTTTTTTAATCAGCTTGTCAGAAGCATGAAAAAATTGCAGGTGAAGGGGCTATTTTTCCATCATTGTGCGCAATATTTACTCTAAGCATTTCACCCAGGTGCTGCGCTCTGTGCTTGTGGTCTAGTAAGCACAGTTAGAGGGAATCAGGAACACGAAATCCAACAGTTTCTCTAATCATTGGCTCTTCTCATTTGGCTCTGGAAAATAATGATATTACAGAGACTTATTTGCTCTGGCTATTTCTTTTTTTCTGCTACAGTTTTAGTCCAGTATTAAAGTTCTTAAACAAAATGAATAGTTAGATGCCTTTGATATTTATTTTGCGTGTGGAAGTCGCTAAAAAGCTGGAAATTTTATTTTCTGATCCATTAGTCCCCTGCACTGTGGTACTGACTGGATGACACTATAAATATATTAGTCCTCAAAACTTTTTGTACACTTCTCTGGTTGTCTTAATTCTGTCAATAAACACCCCTTAAACAAAGCAAATACATGTGTCATAGTGGGCTCAGATCCTGACAGCATCCAATTAGGTGATTATCTGATGCTTCTTCACAACAGCAAGATCAATAGTTTTTAATGGATTAGCCAGCAGACTAATAAAAGGGAATTTCATTGATTATGCTGCGGGTTGTCATTGCCTCACTGTGATATTGTGGGAATTAGCTGATGTCAAAGCAGACATTCAAGTTAAAGCGACTGACATTGGGGCTGTTCAAATTATATTGGATAACAGTTGTGGAGGCAAAAGCTTATGTAAGGTATTAGAAAATGTTTTTAATCTTAACTGATTGTAATATTTATCCTTGCTCTTATTTTAGAATTGATTCTCCCACTTAAATAGGCTTAAAATGTAACCATAGTATAATTTACTTGGTTATAACTTTCCCCAAACTAACCTAAATGTTTAGTTATTTAACCCTTTTGTACTTTTAGCCGGCCTCTTTCTTTGCCACAGGCAGAATTTATCACTGGACTAGAAAGTGCCGCACTCTGCCATGCTTCATCCTTTGTGGTTTGTGTCAGACCCAGACAGTCATCAGAAAAGGTCAAAGCTTTGGTAAAAGATTTAAATCAGCCTAAAATAAGAGAGATTTACCCTGACAGGCAGAGGCTGAAAACTGGTAAATAAGAAAGCAAGCAGAGACTCATTCCTCATCACTTAAACCAAGGACAAACAGGGCTATTGTATTTCAAACTAGGGGCTGTAGCGTGTGCGCCATCTTAATATGATTGCATGATTATTTCAGAAACCACAAGAGGAACACTGTTTTTGTTCTCCCCTTCTTCAGATCTATTAATCGTGTTTTTCTTTCTGAAATGAGGTGATCTTGACATAGCTGAAAGCAGCAACATATTTTTAAATCCAACTTGGCAGGGTCAGTGTGGAAAAAGAAAAACTGCTGGCTTTCTTTTGACTGAGGAGCAAATTCGCATATTGTTGTTGTATTTTGATGTGTCTCTTAGCTGTTTTATATCCATCCAGATGTGTGAGGTTCTAGTGTACCATTTACATTTTCCCCCCATTTGTATCTTTACTATATTAATGCTTTAGCAACACTTTTTGATGAATGCAGGAACTGAGGCGCTTATTTAACTTGTTTTGAGGACAAACAGGACATTTGGAAAAATCCTTCCTCTTTAGTGTTTATTAATGTACTTAAAAGATGAATGGGATAAAGGGAAGCTCACAGAGAGGCCTATGCATCATAATATATTAGCTCACCGGAGAAAAGAATAATGAAACTATTTTAAGCTTTAAAGCCATGCTTGAATAATATATCTGTTCCAAAATGCAACAAAGCAAGAACTATTACTAGGTAGTTACTTTTTATAATCTTTTCAGAAAAGACATTCATAAATATATGTTGAGTTTTTTGCTCTTTAGCCTATAAAAAGCTTATAGTTTGAATTTTTATACTGTGTTATCTGGAAGTTTTTTTTTTATAAACACAAAGGCAAGACAATATTTGTATAGTGCAATTCTATACAAGGACAATTGAAATAGCTTTATATCAATTGAACAATAAAATAGTCAAACAGTACAGGCAGAAAAAAGCAAATGAAGAAAACAACATGGTAAAAACAGGTTTGACCACAATCTAAAAATGATAATACCTAAATTAACAGTTTAACTTCAACAGTCAAAGGCAGTTCTAAATAAGTAAGTTTTTAACTGACTCAAAATAACTCAGGCTTTCAGCACTTTTACAGTCTTTTGAAAGTTTGTTCCAAATAAGTGGAACATAGGAACTAAATGCTTCTTCTCCATGTTTGGTTTTAGCTCTGGGTGTACAGAGCAGGCTTGAAGGTGAAGTCGAGTTTTTTTTCAGGTACATTTCACTTCACCTAAGACTTAGCATTTGTAAGATAAATGGAAAAAAAATTGACCTGTTCGGAAATTCATAACCTATACAGTCTGATAAAATAATACTAGGTTTAATTATTATAATATAATTAACATCATTGATATTATTTTGTCCTTATTAATTCACTTGCAGGTATTGTTGTCCTATGATCCATTTATCCTCACACTGCTTGGTTTTCTTTTCCCAACTGTAGTTTAAACTAAATGTTTAGATTTAAAGTTTGTTTAAATGCATAGCCCTTTGCACACATACAGGTGAAGTCTATATTAAAGTTGTCTTACTATAGCTTTATATAGGAGCAGTTACCTTAAGTACTAAGCTGAAGCTCGCTCATACTCACTGTCCTGATGTCAATTGCACTTTATTTTGGCAGTGTGGAGTAGGGGTGTAATGATTCATTTGAACAATGACACGATTTATATCATGATTCATGGTTTTCCATTCGATTCATGGTCGATTTTTGATTCATTTCTAACAATCCGATCGGATACCGTGACTTGAAATCAATTCAGTAATTCTTAAGCCAAAAATGTAAGCCATCTAAAATAAAAACCTGCTTACTGAAAATCTCCTAGATTTTTATTGTTTCTTTTAAGGGAACTTAGGTATAAAGTAAATAAATAAAAGCGAATACAGTCACATTTTTTTCAGTTCAACTAACACTCCGAAAATAATTATTGTACTTGGTGCATTTTAATTTAAAAATGCGCATTTTTAAATTAAAATGCACTAAGTACAATAATTATTTTAAGTATAGGTTTATCTGATGCTTTTTTTTATTTTAACTTGAAAATATTACAACTTTAACACAAAAGTAAAAACTCCAAAATCTCCTCAGTTTGAATCAAAAGTACAAGCAGCAAGGTTTTCTATCTACCATATAAATAAAGAAATGCCAGTAGTCTGAGTAATAGCATACTGATGAAATGAGGCCTTGGGTGGATATTTATGTGTTATTAGGTACAACAAGCTCTATTGTATATGTAACTATGAATATACAGGGGTGGGATTCACTGTTTCCCTTTGGCAAAATAAGCTAATGACTGCTGTTTTAAATGTTGAGGATTAATAGCCTTGTTCCCTAATGTAGATTTACCAAACATCTCCTTTTAACATTCTGGGATCATGACTTTACTTTAATATGTGAGTTTATAAAGGGGTCTTTAGCTATAGCCTTTAAAAATGCTGTTGTTTTAAAAAGAAACCCTACATTAATCTGTGTATTTGTGTGTGCATTGTAAATGGGAGCTATATCAGTATTCACAATATACTGTAGTTGTACATTTGCATTGCAAGAATTCATGCAAAGGGTTCTGTAAATTGCTTCTCCTGGGAACAAACAGGTGAAGGCAGACATAGGTAAACAGGCACCATCCTAAGGTAAACACTGTGTGTCCCACATGCCTGCAGTTTAATGCACATGTAGGCAGGCACGCAGTTGATTATGTCTAAATACCTCTGCTGCAGATTTCAAATGGGAAGTCACAGTATTGTGTTTACAGGAAGCTAAAAACATAATCATGAATCAACATATTTGAAGTTATTCTTTTACATTATCGTAAAAGAGCAAAATGTTATGTTTTTTGCAACATTATAATTACTTAATTACTTATGATTATATTTAATATATTTTTAAAATTTTTATACTCTGATTTTGTGCTTAAATTGGTGGCTTTTTATCTCATTGTATAGTCTATAGTAACAATCGATTTCTTTGTTCTTTCTTTTTCTTCTTACAGGCCTTCCCATGTATTTCCACAGGCATTTACGGTAAGCTGTTGTTTTTCTGTGAACTTATTTGTGCTGCCTGCATGTTTTTTGACTGCTTTTCCCACATAACTTTGCAGGCAACACATAAAAACTTTATATCACACATAAGGAAATGCAGTAAAGAAGAAGGTTAATATAATAAAGACCAAGAACATTGCTTTGTCCTCTCATGGGACCGGAGCGAATTTGCCGGAAGGCATCCCTGGCAGAAGACTGGCTGTACTCATTGCATTTAAACAAAGTCACTCGCAAAAAGTCAGAAAAAAAATAACTTTAGAGTTGTTTTCATAAACTGAATTAGAAGTTTATTCTTAACAAAGTTACAAGGAGATTAGTTGTTGCGTTCTTGTTCTGAGAATTTCTATTCCCCCTGTGGGGGGAAAAATCATGCAGTTTATTCTTTGTATTGAATTAGCATATAGCTTCAATAATCTCAGTAGGAGCCAAATGTTTATGGTTAATTAACATGCAAATCATCTATCTCTGTAACTAACAATTAGTCAGCACTATTCTGGTTCCAAATGAAGTTAAAACTTCTTTTAAGTGCTTTTCTGATCACAGATATAAGTAAAAAATAAAAGGTCTCCTGGACCTCCTTATAACAAGGTTGCCGTTCTCTTAACTGTGCCACAGCACTCACAAGTGGATCACTCTGCAGCCACTGTGTTTCTATCAAAAACAAATTATTTTCAAATGATATGTTAATATTTCATCAGGGCTTGCTTTAATTTATCAAGGTCTCTTTTTAAAGTGATGCTGAAAATGAGCACAGGGACAGATGAGTTGCTTAAATAGACTTTTAATTACTTGATGAGGGACGTGGATGAAAGCAATTTTACTGTGAATGAAACCTTGGCAACAACAGATAACTTATAAACCCAGTTTAGATAGGCCCAATCTGCTTAGTATTTTCAGTCATCTATACAATCAACCTGGAAAGACTATATTTGCATAAATATGACACCAGTTTGAACACCTCATGTGTGGTGTAAAATAAATTACAGCAAAGTTTTTTTTTAATGGGATTAATGCATCCTAATCAGATGCCCGAGGCATCACCAGGAAGACGTCCAGGAGGCGTCTCCCTGGTGTGTTCCAGGCACGTCCCACAGGGAGGAGGCCCAGGGGGAGACCCAGGACACGCTGGAGGGACTATGTTTCTCGGCTTGCCTTGAGGCGCCTTGGGATTTCCCCGGTAATGTGGCTGGAGAGAGGGACGTCTGGGCCTCCCTACTGAAGCTGCTACCCCCGCAACCCGACCCCGGATAAGCGGAACAAGATGCATGCATGGATGGATGGATGGATGGATGGATGGATGGATGGATGGATGGATGGATGGATGGATGGATGGATGGATGGATGGATGGATGNATGGATGGATGGATGGATGGATGGATGGATGGATGGATGGATGGATGGATGGATGGATGGATGGATGGATGGATGGACAGTAATGGTAAAACCAATATATAATAGATTTTTGTTAATCATTGCAACTTTTGTCCTTTTAAAGGTCATAGCTGAAACTTTTTCCTTTAAAAGCAATATATCGACAGACTGGTGCTGATTAACTAATTTTACTGAAAACAAAATGTATCTGCTTTTGGTTTCGATGCTGACTTTGTCACGAAAGTACTTTGAAGTTTCCTCAAACGTAGCTCAGATTTTGACCGATTCCTAATGGCTACTTCTTACATTTCTGGATTCAAGGCAAAAGAATAGAACAAAAACAAGGATAAACAATGGCAAGGCTTTGCGGTGCATGTATATACAGGAAGTTTGTTCGTTTGAAACCAAATATGAAGAAACAAAAACATATTATAATTTTTGTATTTCGTTTATTGAACATATGCGGATCCTTTACCCCTCTGTTCAACCAAATTTTGAAGTTGAGCTAAATTACACACCTGTGTAAGTAAGAGATGTTCACTTGTTGTGCTGTGATGCATTCCAGATGCTGATGCACACCACTTTTCTAAAATATGTGGCTGTTGTACTGTTGCTGCTCACTGTTCCAGCTCCACATCAACTTAGAACAGTGTTGATCATGCAGTCATCTGGTACATCTGGTTGAGTTTACATGCAAAAGACTGAATATGCAGACTTTGGATTACATTTTCTGGACTTATATGTAAAAAAATATAAAAAATGAATGAATAAATTCACAAATACCAACAAAATGACATTTTGATTACAAAAACATTAATACATCTTAACCAGTTGGTAATGCTACTCTCTACAGATCTAGACAGATACATTCAAATACAAATGGGTGTGCAGCATTGAAAATGAATAATAGAGAAATACGATTTTCCAGACACCTTGGTCTACATATGGCTAGAGACTGGAGCTGTTTATTTTTTCTTAATAGTCTTTAAAAATAAGAATGCAATTTTCAACCAAAGCCATCACCTTTTCTCCTTTATTAAATCAGCATTATAACTAACCAGCAGCTGTCACTGAGGGACACTGAATTACTAAATGGAGAGGAGCGCTGATTACACAGGCTGACAGACCTTGGCAGTGCTCATTAAAACGGCTGAAACTTCCCTGAATGTTAATGGCTACAAAATGTTCATGCATCCTGAGGCATTGCTAAATGTTCTTGTTAGTATAGACCAGTGTGTGTTGTAGAAAGTCCTTTTAAATTACCAGCTGTGAAAACTACACAGGTACATGTCAAAAAGTTAGATTATGATGAAAAAGTTTGCTATTTTTCTGTCACTTTAGAAAGCGACAGAATGTTATAAATAATATAAAGAGAAATATTTGCAGCCTTTTTTTTTTATTTGATTATGACTAAGACATAATGAAAACCCAAAATTAGCATCTGCATATTGTGAAAATGTTAAATATTCAATTTGAGATTTATTCATTTACTTCCTGATTTATTTGTTTGTTTTATTTTTAAAAGTCACTGAAATAAAAGTCGGAGAAAATGCAAAGTAGTGTTACAAAATAAGTGCTGATAAATTAAAACTCTAATGAAATAGATAAATAACTAAATGTGGAAGTGAATAAATAAGTTACTTCATGGTGACAATGTACTTCATAAAATTCTTAGTAATAATTTATAAATAGCATAACTTATCGATTTATTGCGCTGCATGGTGACAGTGGGTGGCAATGGTAACCGGGGTCTTTCTGCATGGTATGTGCATGTTCTTTCTGTGCATGTGTGGCTTCTCTCCGGGTACTCCGGCTTCCTCCCACAATCAAAAACCATGACTGTTTGGTTAATTGGCTTCTCTAAATTGTCCTATGGAGTGTGTGCATGGTTGTGTGTCTCTGTCTTGCCCTGCAACAGACTGGTGACCTATTCAGTGTGCACCCTGCATCTCGCCCATAAACAGGGTCCTGGTTAGGCACCAGCCCAACCGGGACCCTGACATGACTAAGTGGAATAGGTTGGATAAATGGATATTTATTAATGTAATTTTGTATGAAAAGGCTCTTCATAGAAATGTAACAAAAGCTGGATTCCTCACTATAGTGTTAATGTGAATGAGCAGCAAAATGCCATGACCTGAGACCCAAAGAGTATCTATGGAGTATTGTCAACAGAAAGAGGACAGACACCAGATCTGACAATACAGATGACCTAAAGGTTAGGATGAAAAGAACCGGAGCTTCTAACAGAACCTCTGGTTGACTGCCTCAATGCCACGCTGAATGCTACAGCATTAAGTCTGGCAAAAAAAAAAAAGAAGCCCAACCAGGTATCGAATCTCAGAATCAAGCATACTTTTTAGAGGACTGACTTTTCTTTTTTAATCCTTTTTTTAAATAAAAAACACAATATTCAAATTTTGCAACACACTGTATTTTTATTCTCTGTAACTTACAATCATCCAAACTGAGAAGATATAAAAGCTTGAAAGAATTTACCCTATGTGTAATGAATCTATACAAGTTTAACTATCAGAAATGAGCGACAAGTTATGTTTAACTTTTTCGTTGTATTTACTTTAAAAAGAAATAAACATGACATTTTCAGTAGTAGTTTTGAAACTGTTATGTCTTCTTTTTGTATTACACAGTTTTTATTTATTACCACAGCTGAAAAGATTATTGCTGAACACCTTAGGATACAATAACATTATCTTATGGGTGTCTTTACTTTTTTTTTTTTTCCTTTCTCTTTCATATTGCTATACAACTTTAGTGAAGTGTTCATAGATCTTATAACAGATTCTCATTAATTATATCCAATGATGGATGTTACAGAATTTCAAAGAGTTGCTTTTGCCTCTCCTGCTGTATGAAAACAAAGACTGTGCTAGAGTTTGCACAAGAAAGAGAGCTTTTTATTCCGCTGTTGTTGACGATACCGCAACTTATTGCTGTTTATTGTTGTACTGTGTGCTGCTTCACCAGTGGGAGCCTGTCGTAGCACTCCACCAGGAGCGCCCTCACATCAAAGACTAGTGTCTGCAGAGCCAGGCATGCTGTAGTGGGGAGGAATTAAACAGCCTGTTCAATAAATAAACAGCTTAGCGCTTCCCATAACTGCATCTTCACTGAACAATACAGCTGATTAAGACTAAAGATTCTCACACAGCAGAGGGCAAATAGAGGAGGGACTTTGAAAGTAGCTTGAGCATAGCGCTTTACACTCTCTGTGATGTTGTTCTCTGGCTCCTCGCTGTGCCCCCAGAGTGCTGCTGTGCTCTGAGAGAGGCCCTGCTCTCTTGTCAGGAGGTTTGACATTTTATGTACATTTTAGATAACCTTTAAGGTCAGCTACCATTTCAGCAACGTAAACAAAAGCTTTTTGGAGTGTGAGTCACATCTTCCTCATGTCTTTCTTTCTGTGTGTTCCTTTTTTATCTACCTCTGTGGTATGCATGTGCCTTTAGCTATCTTTTTTTTTTTTTTTGTAAATATACGCTTAGAGGAACAACTGATTAGTGTTGCAGACCAGCCTTTTTGTGATTTTTCTCATTTTAAAACTTGTAGAAATCTTCTGTAATAAATTCTAAAGGTACTTAGTGTCTTTT